TATTTCAGTTTTCTGCTTCAAAGTAAGTAAAAACATCGAGAAATAGGTTTTTACGAAGTGCCTGAAATTTCACAAGTGCCTGGTTTTAGTATTTTGTGCTTGAGGTTGCCAGATTTTATTATTCCTATTCAAATAAATCCAGAAAGTACGATGGTTGACCATATGTTGTCAAATGGTATTGCTCATTGCAATATTAAAAACGCTCAAATTGTTGTGGAACAATGAATTTGCGTTAGAAAGCAAAGAATAGTAAGTGCTGACGCAAATAATTTAAGAAAATAATTGCGAAAAAATATGGCAACTGTCACCGAGAAAAATCAGGCACTTGCGAAATATGACACGCCTCCATCAGTCACAAACGGTATTGTATTTTACCAAAAAGTTGTAAATTCAACCATACAAAGTGTATATATTTAATTTTCTGCTTTAGAGTAATCAGATACATTGTAAAATAGGTTTTGACCAAGTGCCTGAAATTTCACAAGTGCCTGATTTCTATATTTTGTAATCAATGTTGCCACATTTTACTATTGAAAAATTATTTACACCCTAATAAATTGGAAATAATATTGTTTTATTGCAATATAGGGATGCAAAAAATTAGTCAAAGTCTAATTATCTTGTCAGGTAAATTGGAAATCCCAATGACGTACGGTAAAAATAAAAAAATATCAAAGTGCCTGAAATGGTGCCTGAATTCGCGAGTGCCTGGTTTTAGGGAGACCCACGGAAGTGTTAATTGCAAGAAGACACTGCAGACTGCATTGAACATCACATCAAATCAGGAATCATCACTATGGGCAGTTGTTATAGCGGATATGATGGAAATTTCTAGAGAAGAATCCAGAAGTAAAATGACAGCTAAATACATTGAAAAATTGCAAAAGCCATAGCCCATATTCGAACAATTCTGAAATCTCTCATTTGGACCTAAAACGCATAATCAAAACTGCAGCACCGAAAATTATAAAAAAGCGTTACAAGTAACTGAGCCATTCATGCAAACGTCAATAACCAAAGGCGACAAAAAGGTGATTGAGTATCTAGCTGGGGGATTGCTAAAATGGGGAATAAAGCGTCCAGGTGGAGAAGGTGCTTTCTGGTGCCAAAACCAAGCTTCGAGACTCGATCTTCCCAATTGCTTTGAAGAGCGCAATAGAGGCGGTATCATATCAGCATCCGAAACATTTGTTCTCTTCCTAATCTCTGTGGAAAGCAAATTCCTGTCTCAAGTATGCAAAAGGGTAATAGATAAACGGCGTATCATCGGAAATATTGACATGGACCCTTTCAGCCCCAGTGAATCCAGTATTCTGACCATTCTTGTGAGAAGATTTATTCGAACAAGGACCCATATCCATTGCATGCAAGACTGAACTGTAGAACAAAGTTTCGAAAAGAAAATTTGGACCCAAATCATATGGACTTCGCGATGGTTTGAAAAATTGTTTTTCCAAATAATCCCATTATTACACTATAATAAAAATTAGCCAACAAAACAATTTCTACTTTGTATTTTTAGCATAAGAAATACAAAAAAAAAATGAACAGGAATTTTGACTTAGATATGAAGAACTTTTTATTTCACAAGGAAAAATGGTTCATAGGAGCCGGATATTTTCGCATATTCGATATTTTTTCAATTTTGTTTTTGTGAAACAAATTTTAAACAAGAAATTTAACTTTGCGTCTGAATATTTTCGGATATCCGGATTCAGCATTTCAAATAAAAAAAATTTTTTCACTTTATGTAGACAATATATCGAATAAAAATGTGCTATTTATGACATCATATTTCATGACTGACGTATTTTATTACATTTTTAAATAAATTGTTTTCATATGATATCTCTACGTTGCACTCTTTTTGGAGGATTGCCTTGTAGGAATGAGTGATAAGCAAATCCAGGGAACGTAGTAACAGTATGGAGTCAATTCCGGGTTCGAGCAAATATTACAATTCCGAGTTCGGAGTCAAGTCAAATAATTGCTTTGTCGAGCCCGAATCATGAAGCAATTCTGAATCACAGAGAATTTTAAAACTCCAGTCAAGTCAAATCACCAGATTTTCAGACTCCAATGCTCGAGACATAGTAGATTTCATAAACAACAGTGGAATGAATAAATATGGGTGTGATGCAAAACCGGATATGATCATCTATTGACAACATTTAACTCGGCATCGACACGGCCTAATTTTTGTCAAAAGCAAATTAAATTTTGATTTTGTCAATACATCTTGATGAACGTGGGAAATCGTATTATATATGCCAAAAAAAATTTATCTAAAAAAAAACTAAAAAGTTTTGACTGTAAGAGGATGGATCAAGCCACGGCGATCGTCTGTCAGAAGGCTTTGAAGAACTGATCCTAGAGTATTTACCGCTTTATTTCGTCTATCGGCTATTTGATGAAATATTTATTCAAAGTATGATGCTACCTAATCATACTTTTGTATGGACCAAATACAAATTGGTACATTCACTTTACCAAAAGAGTGATAGTCTACCACGTGAATCACGTGGGTGATTATCACACGCGAAAGGATTACTGGTATTCGCAGTTAGGTACGGTAGTTTGCGTATCCCAGTGGTCGGCGAAATACGGCCGGAGTAAAATAACCTGGCCGGGACGCTTCACTGAATGGTCCTTTGACCCCGAAAATTTATTCTATACTTTACCCTTTTAAAATTTCCGGTGCTTATTTTAAGAGTGGTTTAGCGAGTTGTTGCCTGTAAAATGGGGTATTTGTTTCAAACTATCATTCTAATTCATACCATTCAACAATCTGTTTTTTTTAAATACCGATAGAGAATTTTAGCCTAGTCTATCACAGCTATTTCTGCACTAATTTTTGATTACTGTAATAAAACTGAAACTCCTAAGAAGACGAAGTGATCATTGACTTATTTTATTTATATTTTAATTTCCGAAAAACAACTAAAAACTAACGAATATAATTTAAAAATGCCAAAATAAGGTAATGTTCACGACCACGCGCGAAAATCTGTCTGAGCTGATGCGAAGGGGTGCATTGTTACGTTTATTTTTGCATCTTGCTGATTGGCCAATGTCACGAAGTAAACAAGGAAGTCTATGCCCAGAGAAACATACAAACGGCGGTTTTGACGGTGAATTAATTTTATTTATAATCTACGCTCGAGGAGTAAATTACATTTTTCAACGTAACAGAATTTATCGTGAGACACGTTTAGACTAAATTTTATTATATTCTAAAAATTTTATTGAACATCTACTCGTTTAACGAGCCTACAATTTAATAATTATAATTAGACAAATGGAAACACGCAGAAAAGTCGATGCTGAGTGCAGGGGTTCAATAGCTCAGTAAATATTCGAATATATTGCAATGCAATAAGGAAATAAAATTCATTTCTTTTTGAGAGATTCATCACTGCTTACATATTGTAAGAATGTATCTTCTTGAAAATAATCTTTATCATAATATATATCACAAACCATGCGAAAATATTCACTTTGATGTTTGAAAGTACATATTTGTGCAAACAATCATTTTCGAAAATGAACATTACAAAGAACAAGTGTATAACTAGGATTAGTGATGCCCATTTGAAATGTTTCAATCTTGGCGTCGTGAAGCTATCAAGCGTAATGCAGCAACAAGACAGTGTCACATTAAATGTCATTGTAATAATTTTTTTATAAGACGACTGAGTTGAGTTCACGAATTGTCGCAGTTTTCGCGCGCTGTTCCGTTTTTAACTTTTTAAAAAAAATATATGCGACCCGCAAAAGATTAGCAACCCTGAATTTTGTCCCGCGAGCGACATAAAATTTGCCGACTTCTGGGCCGCAGCCAACAGTCAGTCACGCCTTTTTCCACATCCGAGTCCACGAATCCAAAACAAATGGCTGATTAATTCTATGGACTGGAGGCCGTGGTAAGATGAAGAATCGGAGATGAATTTTACCGAATACCATTATATATGATGCATTTTAGTGCAGGTCATCAGGCTGTACGGATGAATGAGATATACGAAAATCATTATTATAAGTTTGGGAAAATTACCTTTGTTCTCATTATTTTAATGTGAAATGGGGTGAATTTAGGGAGTGAAATGCTATAGGGCAAGAGTTCACGGCGGTTTTTGACGAGGTAGAACCCTGGATTCTTTCATTTCTGACTTATTATATTGTGAAAATGGGGTTTCAGCCTTGCTACTATTGCTATCAAAACAACGAAATCGCCTTTCCATCAGTAAACGGAGTAATTTTAGATATAATAAAAAACTCACTGAGGAACACCAAGCTCATCTATCTCATTAAAAACACTATAAACTATGATTTGTCTTCTCATTTGGTCTGTAATATATTCGTTTCTGACTTTACATTTTTTTATATTGCCCTCGATGAAGTTGTATAAATGACTGTAGGGGGGCGATGGTCAAAAAAGTTTGGGAACCACTGGTCTATATAATATACCGACAATATAAAGGCTAGTTACAGGATCAGAAAGGCAGAATAAACCCACATAAATTAGGAAATCTGGATAATTTGAGACAATAAATAGCTTGGTTATTTTTCACAAAAACTCAAAAAGCATAAAGTTTAGATATAAAAAAAAGCATGTATACGCCCTGTTTTATCACGATAACATTTTCCCGGAATGTAAATATCAAAAATAAATAAATGTAAATACCCAAATTAAGGCGGGCAAAATAAAGTCTAATAAATATTTTAATTTTCAATTAGCTTCACATCCCCATAAAAATGGTCTATGCCCCCTTGTGGGGCGCACCACTATCAGTGTATCAATCTATCAGTGTGATAGATCAAGTCTATTTAACATTTTTAAGCGCATGCAATTTAACATACCGATTTTTCCTACCTAAGATTTGTAAGGATGGGTTAAGTTTTAATTTTGAGTGCCCTAATATTACAAGTTTGGTTTACCTTGTTCCAACAACGCACATAAAATCTCTAATCTCTACCCAGCACACCTTCTCACAGCTATATGATTTTCAAATTATGAGATAAATTTATTACAAAACCTAAACAGGAAACAATAATGTCTAAATCATTTACCAAAGGGAAAACTCTACTCGGGCACAAATTGAAGATCTCTGTATAATAAAATCAGACATTACCAATACTGCAGGCATAATTAGAATACACATTCTTGGATTGATTTCAGCCCAACTGAAGAAGACTTTCAGATAAGGCTGTTATTTGAGAGCAAAACATGGCTTTGAATAGATGAATTATTCAGGGCAATACATTGATAACATTTTCGCCAGACTGTCAATTTCTTGTGACAAACATCATTATTACATAATTATTTCTTACAGACTCGTAAATATTTTCAATCTCAGTTAAACATTGCTGTTCAATTCAATGAATATCAAAACAAGGGCCAAAGATAACAACAGAATCAAGAGGGATTGCAGACTTTTGTTATGTACTGGAATATACCTGTATGAAACATTTTCCAATATTCCATGACTGAAACACTTTCTTTCAATGTTTATCCAAGATACCAAACTTTCATCGGAAAATAGTCACCAATTCACCGTTACCTTCCTCAATTGCGTGAAGTCACATTCTCGTCTAATGTTAATGTAGTTGTCAATCAAAATTATATGGAGTTGCTGCGATTCAGATTGACGTCATAAAAGCCATCATGTATCCGATAAACTTCAAATAGCATAAATTATTTACAAAGACGTATTTTTATACACAATGTTTTGTTGGCCCACCTCAAACTTTATAATCTCACATTGTATGAAGGGAAAGGTTGCTCCACAATACCAAACTGCAACCTGAAAATATAAGAGGTCTTAGAAACGATTATACCTATAATATACCACCAAATAAATTGAAACCTGAAATCGCCCTTAAACATGCCTGAATTGTATAATTTATTTACGTATTCAATTGCATGCATAAGAACAAATTCATATTTCAGTCTTCTCAATATCTAAAATACCAGTATTTAGAAGATCGCTGCAACAGCAAAGTGTTGTTTTGCGAAAATTCAGCATAAGTCTGAAAATAATTTCAATAAGTGTCGTTCGCTTGATACACCATCATCAAACTGATATCCCATATATAAATGATGTCGCGTACCTTTTTATATAATACCTGTAATCGATGTACAGAACCTCTAGGTCTAGGGCGTATATATCTCAGCTCAGAAGGTTGTTCACAATTCCACTTTATGCTTCACTCAAAAATTCGTTGTTGAACAAAATTTGATTTATATTATTGATTAATAGTTTTTTTACTGCTCAATAGTCCCAAACTCATGAATTTAGCTAATAATTATAATTTAAATTAATTGTATTCGATTTTGGGGAGGTAAGAGCGACTATGACTTTCCAAAAATTCCAATATATTGAGTAGACAAATACACGTAAAGCTAAAAACACGATGGCCTTACATCTAATAAGCTTTCCGAAATTTATATAATATTTTCATCATGCGGCATTTCTACTATCATAAAAATAATAGATGAAATGCTTGACCACGTTACAAGGTGTGTTGTTCAGTAGAACTGTGGTTGACTAACAAACAACCACCATTTCTGTATAATATTTATCCAAATAAATGGGATACCTGTCCTGCCATTGCTGACTGATCTTCAAACTTCACAGGCAGTTGATATTTCAATGTGTGTCGTGCATTTGTAACTTTAGTTAACTAATATGATGCTACTAAGGTATTAATTGCAAAACTAGGGTATAAATTGAACTAGGCCACTGAGAAGAGAAAACCTTAATTTGACTTAGATGATCTTGTTGAGACCCAAGTTAAGATTTTAGAATATCAATTTTGCTAACAAACTTGTTTGTTCAAAATGTGACAAGCAGATTCATTCCTCCTTAGCACCCAGATTTATATCAAGGCTTCCAATAACCTATTTTTAAATGGTTTATGAAGAGAGACGTAATAGCAAAATCAGTATTTTATTTTTCAAATACAAATGTTACAAACAGCGAATGCAATTTTAATTTATTTCTGTCACTAAAATGCTAATAACAGTCTGTCTTAGCTATGAAATTTGCAGATGACAATTTTTTGAAGGCTGAAGTGACGAATAGAAGTTAAGTTAATGTACAAAACTACTAGGAACTCAGTATCACCATGTAGTTTTCCCTCATTATGCAGCTTAAAGTTTTGAGTTCAGGAAAAAACACTGAGTTTTACGATTTTCTCAATGAGATTAATATGAAATTGTGGGTTGATTGAAATTGCTTCTTTTTAAACACTTATTTAACATTGCGTAATTATGTCTCCTTCTGTTGCAGAAAAAGAAAGAAAAGAAAGAACAGTGTAGAGAAAATTCCCAGTGGCCCAGATATAGCGAAATTATGCTTTTTCACTTACCTTGCATTAGCCAACTGACTACGGATCACCTTCAGTATTGTGTGGTTGATTATTGGAGTCATTATGGTCAGCTTGGTGTGCCTCACTATCATTCACAGACTCGTTTGTTTTCTCAAGATTGGATACCTGCTGTTGAGTTGATTCACTTGGTGCAGATGCTGTGATACAAATGGTATGAATAACAAGTGAAACACAACATCATTACATATAACCTAAATACTTAAAAATCTGTATGTATTTTAATTTCCATACATAGAGATAGTATTCAATTTTGCAGAAATTAAAATAAAAATCACCAAGAAATAGATGCTTTGAAACCAGATTTTCTGAACAAAATTAGGCACTACAGAAGCGATATGCACCAGAGTATTTTAACAAAAAAGTTTACTCATTTTTTCAAGCACCGTTTTTTTCAAATTTCTCCCTTTTGGGTTGAACCCAGTGGTGGGATTCAGCCGGTTCGCACCGGTTCTATAGAATCGTCTCACGAAATTTCGAGATCAGTGAACCGGTTAGCATTTCTGGTTACTGTCAATGTTCTGTTTGTAACAGAACCGGCTGAAAAATATGACTTTTGTGAAGGAACCGGCTGACAAAAAATTTGAATCCCACCACTGGTTGAACCCCTCCTAAAATCAATTCAAATTGATTAATTAAGTTCCAATATTGAGACTATTTTTTCACGAGTTATTTAAATTTGAAAAAAAACTATGTTGGACTATCTAAAATTCATTATAAGAAGGGCTTTAGGAAGATGAGGATCTTTTTAATTGATATGTACTCACCATCACTGATTTCAGAAACCTGACCATCTTTATCTTTTGTACCATTTTCTTCTGCATCAACCCTTTCATTTGATACTTCTTTGTTATCACTTTTTTCAACCTTACCCTCACTTTTATTTTTATCTTCCTCATGATCCTTGCCATGTTTTCTGTCTTTGGAGTCACTTCTTCTAGAGCGTTTGCGATCTTTTCTATCTTTACTGCGAGAGCGAGGCCGTGAGTGTTTTCTTGAGTGTCTTCGATCCCTGTCGCCATCTCTATCACTTCTGTCCCTGTCTCTTGACCGACTTCTGTGAGATGATTTTCTGGGGTAACCAAAAATGAGTTTATTCAAACTGAGAGAAACAATTCAACCGCCGTTAATGTTCGAATTACATTTTCAACCAGCCCGAACCATGAGATAATACAATAGAACTGAAGATAAAATTTAGTCTTAAGGCATTAGGATAAATAAAACCTTGGCATAGGGAAATTGTCAAAAGTTTAATAAAGTATATAATTAACCTGTCCCTTTCATCTCGTGACCTAGAGTGATAATCTCTTGACCTTCCACTGTCTCTGCCCCGATCTCTATCTCGATATCTTGAATCCCTTCTGTCGTCATGGCGACGATGATCTTTCTCCCTTGACCGACGTTTGTAGTCGTCCCGACGTCTTCCTGAATCTCGATCCGGAGATTTACGACGATCTTTATCTTTCTCTCTCTTACTTTCCCTGGAACGACTTCGCCTTCGGTCATCCTTGTGCGATCCACTTCGCTTTTCAGATACTTTGCCATCTTCTTTACTGTATAGAAAATTGTAATTAATGACAAAAAAACAATAATTACAAATATAAACATATAAAAGTAAAACCACCTTGTTTTCAAAGCATCTTCTGATGGTGCTTCAGCTTTTGCTCTCAGTTTTTCCTGCGTAAAACATGAGACTATTCATTTATAATGCAAAGAAAAGGGCATTCAACATGAGCGTTTTATAAAAAAAAAACTCAAAATTTAAGAGTGTAACACAAGTCAATGAATACATGTGGTTGATGTACTCTGGGAATAGTTTACATACTATGCTGAGTGTCAAGAAATAAAAATACCTTCAATTCCTCAATATGAGATTTTATTTTTGCATATCCCATGTGTTGTTTCCCCATAAGATGATCATCCACGCGAGATTGCGCATCACCGACAATCAAGAACGCACCGCATACTTCACAGACCTCCATCTGCTTTTCTTGCACAGAAAAGGCATCTAGCACCTAAATTTTTGTAATAGACTGACTAAATGTTTACCCAATAAAAAATCTATACCAACACAATACTTTTAGAAATAAATCTTCCAGAAAAAATGTCCCAAAATCGATGTTACTCTCTTGTTCCAGAAATCAGATAAAAACTATCAATTAACGTTGCCAAAAGACTAAGTAATATGCTGAATTTACAATGTCATTTCCACTTCTGGAATTTTCTCATTAGTACATTACCAAATCATTCTAATGAAATATATATTAAACTTTAGATTTTGAAAAGGTGCATTCCGACAAAAACATAATCCAAAGAATTCCAAAGGAGTTATTGTTTTATTTTAGTAACAAATTTCTAAAAAAATCTAGTTATTCACAATATTGATTTATAACCAGAACATCATTAGTAATGATATGAAGTCAAGATAAAATACTAACGGTTCCTTTCTGTTGTCCGTATAATTGTTCTCTATCTTCCTTTAACTGATCACATAACTTCATGACTCCTTGGGCTTCTTCCACATTCCCTTCATTGCCAAGCTGTTCAATCTTTTGCAACATTTCTTCAATTCGCTGAGTTAAAATATTGATCTGGTCCTCAACATCTTTACTTGGTGGCCCCTGCTTTTTAACAAAATTGATAAGGATTCAAAACCAAATAAATACACAAGAACTTGTAAGATTGAAAATAAAATAACCACACACAGCAAGTATCATTCTATAAATGAAACAAAGAGTCGCAACTCGCAAAATGTAAAATTTCTGATAACAAAACATTAGGACAATTTTGAACAAACTGGTAATCACATGAAGGCAAAAGTCATTATATGACTAAATCATTTCATCTGCTTTTCGCTTGTCATTTTTACATAACAAAATTGTTAATCATTTCTGTTATAGTCCCCTTTTTGGTCTAATCATTTTTTTTGAAAAGTTCAACACACAATATTCCCATGCTGCATTTTGTTTGTGTATAAAGTTATAAATACAATGATGGTCTAATTCCAATGTTATATTTAGACTGTGCAATGATTTGAAATTCAATCCAATACTTCCATATTTCCAAATATAATATAACACAACCTTTTGATTTTTCTCCTCTGAAAGTTGTAAACGCTGATGATTACGTCGAATACGTCTCTCGACATCAGTCATACATTGTTGAAGATAATGCAGGAAATCTGCTTCGTATGACATTTTCATGTATCTGGTACTTTGTTGATATGCCTAAACAAGCCAAGGATAATCTACTTAATTAATATAAACATTTTTTTTTCCAGAAAGCTGTAGCCTTCATCCGCCAGTATAGAACTAATTTGATGAAATAGTAGTAGCCTACTTGATAAGATAGATATTACGGTAATATTAAAAATAGAAATACCTTGACATAAAAAAAATATATCACATTGCACAATGAATATTGCTTTTTGACATATGCTATCTAACAAATTAGGGCAATTCCACAAAACAAGTGATGAGATTCCAACGCGGCGGTGTGGCTCAACGGGCTAAGCGTTAGGAATACGCTCGCCACCGCACCTCTAATTACTCTGCGCGGGTTCACAGGTTCGAACCCATGCAGGGATGGTTAAGTGCGAGAGGATTGCTGGACTCCTTGCCGCCGTTGGGTGGTTCACGTAACCGCTGGTCGGTTACGGCTTCCTCCACCACCAAGTCCATGCCTCCGAAAACAAACAATATAACTAATCCCATACCCGACTTGGAATGGTAACCGGACGAGAGGCCGTGGTTCGCCATACGGATAAGCCGTCTTATCGGCTTTCCTCTCCCCCGGGATAAATATGTAAATCCTATCCTAATAACAATTCCCAACAGTAAGCCTGGCAAAGTGACATGGTCTGTAGATGTACTAAATCTGCAGCTCGCGTCATGCTTGCCTCGATACTAATTTAAATCAATCGAGACATACGTCGGATATTATATGACCAAAATTGCATTCTTCACTAGGCACTCTCAAATGCTGCGGTAAAATTTTTTCTGTTTGTAAATCGAAATATTATTTTCGTAAAATGAAATGGTGGCGTTTTTAGATTGTGTTTAGTTTCAAATTATTTGTGCAGTGCAGGTTTGTGCCGACATGAAGGCCCAGACTATTTCGTAATGGAGAGGTTCGCGCACACTGCTATAACTAATGTCTTTCAATGTGGGGGCTATTCTTCAGTTCTTGGAATCGGAGAACCGTGTCGTCTGTCGTACTGATATTTGATTCAAAAGGCAGGATAACAAATTACAAACCTTTCTAAGTGCTTCATCATGAACTTTTTCACATGGGCCAAGATCAGATCTTGTGTTTGTAAAAAGTTCAGCAGGACAAAAACCACACAGGAAATGCTTGCAAACCTGAAATTGAATATGCATCAGTTCAATGGTTTATTGAAACATTTTGGATAGCAAAATTCCGATATTTGTGTTCAGCAGATTCTCTGACAGCAGGAATGCAAGATGTGTAAGCTTATTATCCCAAAAAAGATTTTCCCAAAATTTTATTTCATACCGGTAACATTTTACCGAAATAAGAGATCAAACAAAACAACTCACATCCTTGTCGCTCCAATGCATATCGTTCGATTTATCGTCAGGTGCCGCATTCCGATTCTTCCCCATTAATTCATCCAGCATTTGAGATAGCTCAGACGTCATTTTGAAGATTTCGTTGATGTAAGACGAAACAAAAAGTACGGGTACGCCAAAATCGACGCGCGGGAGGAGTAGTAAGACTACAGACAACAATGGGCCTTGAACAATTAAAACCCATCCCACGCGGGAATGTCCAACTAGCCTTTATTTGTAGTCTTCGGGTTATTGTACATTTTAATTCATAGAAAATTCTCCTGATGATTTTCAAATTTTTTTGATAAGATGAACACGGTAATTTTTTTGAATAAAGCTTATGGAAATCTTAATGGACATTGTCACCGTTTCAGTTTCTTCCTGGCGGTGGCGTAGCAACGCAATATTCCGCTTTTGGGTTTTTGCACGAAATGCCGTCCCTCAACACCACCGTAAGAGCTGATTAAAATTTCACGGCGACCTACATTTGAACCCACGTACATTTGAACCCTTGCGTATATCCACGGGTTCAATCTATATGCGGGTGCTAAAACCCATGGGTTAGGGTTAGTATGGGTTTAACTATCCGTGAAACAAAAAAAAATTCCATAGGTGCAATAGCATACAGGTGCAATAGCAATAGACCTTATTCATTAAAAACCCATCCTACGCGCAAAAAAAAGTGCTGTAAAAAAATATTTTTTAACATTAGCTCTTATGGGGGAATGTGATCACCAGAGCATAAATTTGCATTTTATGTAATTTTCTAGATATCTTTCATTGTATACGTGAGCAGTTTTGAGGATAGAATATTTTTTACATCTTTTTAGATATTTTTATTATGATAAACATGGTCAAGATTTTTAATAATCGTTCATTGAAATTTTAAATGAGCGCGGTGTTTTCGATGACGTCATTCTCATTAGACCATGAGATTCTCCCAACGCGCCGTGCTCTGTGGGATATGTGCTCCGACTGCTTGTGATAACAGAATACTGGAATACCGGTACCGGGACCACAACTGGCGTTCAACGAAAGACCTATTTTGGTTTTAATTGGATGTTATATATTTCATGAGTTCCATGTACATTTCTGGTACACCTTTTAAAATCCAATGGCCTAACTCTGTTCATATGTTGACGGTACCTACCATGTACGGTACCTATCCCAAAATGGGTGATGTTCAGGGCTGGATTTGGACCATGAGAGGCCCCTTCATATTTTTGAGCTCAGAATTTCTCTCTAAACAACACCACATTTAATTGCTTAAAGTTTTAAAAAATATGAAAGCATTAAACTTTTTATTCTCCCCATTCATGGGTGTGAATTTTTAAATAAAAGAATGATGATTTACTTGAGGCAGTTTTGCTTTCAATTTCTTTGATCAAACAACCGCTACAGCCATACTTTAACATAGACACTTCCAGCAGAATGCGCATAATAATAATTTCCCTTATCATGATGCAAACGACGCAATAATGGCTGTTTACAATGCGGTTGAAACCAGTTGTATACAGAATTTTCTACTCTGAAAAGCTTGATATATATATATACTTTTTGTAGGGTTTAAACTTGTCAAGTTTTCAAAAGAATTACAAACTTTGAAACCGAATTTCGAGGCTCTAGGTTTCAGCCTGCCTAGCCTATTGGTAAATCCAGCCCTGGTGATGGTCCCTACAGCAAATTTCTGGCCCTAATCACTTAGCAGAATGAAATAAATGGTTTTCAGCATTTATAAGCAAAGATAGATATTTTAATTAAACATATAGTTCAACTTAAAGCCTGTACAATGATATTATAAATATATGTCCTATTATTACTGCATTGTGAGAAGGCTTTCCACACTATCAAGTCTATAAGGTTTTAGCGTCTTCCAATGTCTCAGATAGAAACTTCAGTCTTCATTTCGCATATTCTTTTCATTAATGCCATTAGCATTTGAAGCTTGACTGATTCCAATGTACCTTTTCCATTGTTGTTTAATGTAATATCCTAAACGTGACTTAAAATTTTTTTCTCACTTCAATCATCACATGTTTGAATACCCGAGCTGACTTCTACTGATTTGTTATTAATTTACATTTTTTTTCGTAAATTAACTGTCGTACTTGCTAAGTGTTCACTAAGTGAAAATCTACAAAAAAAAGCAATGTTTAATAATGGACTACATTTTTAACCGAATCCAAAAATATTCCGTAACTTAGTCAACCCTTCCTCCGAGGAGTTTTTGTTAAAACATCTTAATTAACTGTTAATCTTGATAGCAAACATGGGGGGCAGGAGGGAGCTGACTGTGACGGTCGTATCGCTCCCCACTCTATACCGAATAACTGTGTGTTTTGTATATGATTTTTATTGATTCAATGCTTGTATTCTGGTTGGCAAAATAAATCTCCCTCTCGTATTCAGTCATGTTTTTTAACCTAGTTACGAGACTGGTATTGTACCATTGTAGGTTGGAGATATTCATCTTTTTTGTATACCGGTACCGTACAACTTGTCCTGCCTATTGGCAAGATGGCCAACATTTTTGTTCGTAGGCCTATTTCAGTATTTACTAAATAATTTAGTTTTCACCTCTTGCAGCCTTGGTACGGTACCGGTAGTTTAAATAACACGTCAGCATGCCTTCACTTAATGATTGCTAGCTGTACAGGTATAAATGCGTAAAACCAGTAAATGAACGTGATAGAAATGGTACGGGTTATAGATTGTCAATGTTAAACGCTTCCAGTACCGGACGGACACGGACCCAAAGCGACATTAGGGCGCATTTCCACAGAGCTTGGCGCGTTGGCAGAATCTCGTGGTCTAGTGCAGTGATTCCCAAAGTGGGCGATATCGCCCCCCGGTGGGCGAAAACGATACAGAGGGGGGCGAAAACATCGAAGGGGGCGATTTCGCGAAACCTGTTTTTCTTCGGTGCATCGTGCACTTAGTTCTGTACTCTGTGTGCATTCGCAGGCTTGAATCACGTGGGCGATAATCACACGCGAAAGGATTGCTGGACTCGTCTTCGCAGTAAGGTACGGTAGTTTGCGTATCGGTCGACAAAATACGGCCGGAGAAAAAAAATCTGGCCCGGGAAGATTCACTGAATGGACCTATATCCCCGACCTTTGCCCGTGGAAAATTCTTCCTATACTATACCATTTTAAAGCTTTTGGTACTTATTTTAAGAGTGGTTTCGCAAGTTGTTGCTTGTAAAATTGGGTATTTGTAAACTATCATTCTAATTCATGCCATTCAACAATCTGTTTTTTAAAATACCGATAAAGAATATTAGCCTAGTCCATCACATATTATTCTACACTAATTTTTGATTACTGTAATTAAACTGAAACTCACAGGAAGACAAAGTAATCATTCATTTCTTTGATTTATATTTAAATTTTCGAAAAACAATTGAAAACTAACAAATATAATTCAAAAACGCGAAAATGAGGTAATGTTCACGACCACGCCTGAATATTTGTCTGAGTGAGTGTGTCTGAGCGGATGCGAAAGAGGGCATTGTTACGTTTATTTTTGCATCTTGTTGATTGGCCAATGTCACGAAGTAAACAAGGAAGTCTATGCCCGGGGAAACATTCGAACGGCGGTTTTGACAATGAATTAATTTTATTTATAATCTACGCTCGAGGAGTAAACTACATTTTTTACGTTACCGAATTTATCGTGAGACACGTTTAGACTAAATTTTATTATATCCTAAAAATTCTATTGACCAGCAAATCGTTTAACGAGCCTACAATTTAATTATAATTAGACAAATTGGAACACGAAGAAAAGTTGATGCTGAGGGCAGGGGTGCAATAGCGCAGTAAATATTCGAATATGTTGCAATGCGATAAGAAAATAAAATTCATATTCTATTCGAGAGATTCATCACTGCTTAATTTTTGTAAGAATGTATCTTCTTAAAGAAAACCTTTATCAATATTTCACAAACCATGCAAAAATATTCACTTCGATGTTTGCAAGTACATATTTGTGGGAACAAATATTTTCGAAAATGAACATTACAAAGAACAAGCAAAGAACTGGGATTAGTGATGCCCATTTAGGAAAAGTTCCTTGGCGTCGTAAAGCTATCACGCGCGATGCAGCAACAAGACAGTGTCACATTAAAAGTCATTGTAATAATTTTTCAATAAGACGACTGAGTTGAGTTCACGAATTGTCGCAGCTTTCGCGTGCTGTTCCGTTTTTAACTTTCAAAAAATATGCGCGACCCGCATGAAATCAGCCGACCCATGGGCCGTAGCCGATAGTCGGTCACGGCTTCTTTAACATCCGAGTCCATGAATCCAAAAACAAATGACTGATTAATTTTATGGACTGGAGACCGTGATAGGATGAGGAATCGGGGATGAATTTTACCGAAGTATCTTGATGCAGGTCATCAGGCTGTAGGAATGAATGAGATGTACGAAAATCACTATTATAAGTTTGGGAAAATCAACTTTGTTTTCATTATTTTAATGTGAAATGGGGTGAAATTATGGAGATAAATGCTATAAGGCGAGAGTACACGGCGATTCTTGAGGAGGTAGAGCCCTGGATTCTTTCATTTCCGACATATCATATGGTAAAAAACATGTTATATATTCGTTTCTGACTTTACATATTTTTTGTAGTGCCGGGGGGCGATGAAGTTGTATAAACTACTGTAGGGGGGCGATGGTCAAAAAAGTTTGGGAACCACTGGTCTAGTGAGAATGACGTCATCGGAAACACCGCGCTCATTAAAATTTTAATGAACGATTATCAAAAATCTTGACCATGTTTATCATGATAAAAATATCAAAAAAAGATGTAAAAAATATTCTATCCTCAAAACTGCTCACGTATACAATGAAAGATATTTAGAAAATTACAAAAAATGCAAATTTCTACTCTGGTGATCACAGTTCCCATAAGAGCTAATGTTAAAAAAAAAATTTTACATCACTTTTATTTTTTGCGCGTAGGATGGGTTTTTAATGAATAAGGTCTATTGTCATGGGTTCAAATGTACGTGGGTTCAAATGTAATGGAACCAAATTTCACACAACAGAAGAATTGGAGCAGTGTTTGTTTAACTTTATTGAAATTTCCAAGTTCAATACGTCTAGCTTTCATTGAAGCAAATTCAGAAATTATATCGTCGGGAGATAATGTCTTGACTAAATCACTTTCAATGAATAGTAATGCTGCCGTCCAGTTACCAGTCCATGGGTGTGGGATTAGT